TTCTAGACTGGTCCCCTGCGTCAGTTGCGCAGCCTGCTTTCTGTGGGTCTTGAAGACAGACTGTTTTTGACCATTTTGGTCATTTTACGATAAGCAGTAAATTATTTATTTATGTTAAGCAGTTTTTTTTGGTATTTTACGTTAAGCATTTACGATAAAAAAAGAGGAATTTTACGTTTACGATAGTGTTTGAAGGGTGTTTTACGTTAAGCATTAAAACCCATCAGGACCCTCCTGTTTGCCCAAGCACTGTTTACTGTTGGGTTTAGTTGGAACACTTGATCAGTTAGGTATTGGCGAGGGATGATGGACTGCAGATCTGTGGCTCAATTAGCATCTTGATCAATGCCGTACTTCCTCTTCCTGCTAATTAAACTCCTTCCTCAAGTAGAATGCTACAGGCTTTGGTGGTTTACTGGTTAATTCAGGCGATGTCGTGATCACTGCTACAAATATGTACATCTCGCGGTGATTCGGTTGGCGGTGATGTAAATAATTCACTCTTGCACCTACATCGCTCACTGTATCAATAACATGCGAACAGAATACATGAATCTGGATGTCACACTCCCCACATAGGGTTAAAGCATCATGAAAACATACTGTTTGTATATCAAGGAGCACATATTAACAACATTAAAAAACACGAACAGTGAATTTACTGGAAGCAAAAGGTTTTGAACATATTCATGGGATTTTTCAAAATTTTGTTAGGACATTCTTCCATGTAATTACCAAATTTCAAAACATTCCGGGGTCTCGGGATTCAAATACCATAGAAGAAGACAAATTGTTTGATGGGCCTTACACTGAGCAAAGTAAGCACATGCCTACAGTTTCCCCTGATAGTGTCTGTACAGATGACCAATGTCCATTGCTTCCAACACAGACCATCCACAATATTTGTCTCAGCACACAGGAGACTTACAGCTACCTGCTATCTATAGTTTGGTTGGTTTGTTGTGTAACGCCGCACTCAGCAATATTCCAGCTATTTGACGGCGGTCTGTAAATAATCGAGTCTGGACCAGACAATCCAGTGATTAATAATATCATGAGCATCGATCCACGCAATTGGGATCGATGACATGGATCAACCAAGTCAGCATGCCTGACCACCCTAACCCGTTAGTCGCCTTTTACAACAAGCATAGTCACCTTTTATGGCAAGCATGGGTTGCTGAAGACCTATTCTACCCCGGAATCTTCACTGGTCACCTGCTAACTATAGAGCATGTCAACACCATAATTGTGATATGAGGAGAGGGGTGAAACACAGTGGCCATCAGACAAATACATCCTGACAGTAATGATGTGGATGCTGGCAAACACCCACAGGAGACCTCCACTTACACCAACAACTAGTCTCGGAAATGAACTCCTTTACAGTAAAAAAAAGTTGTTAAATTATAGTTATAAAATATAATAAAAAGGGGCCCAGAGACTTTCTTCATTTTCAGATACTGCAGTAATCTAGACTTGCCAAATATTATAGACCAGCGATAGAAACTAACACTTTCATCCACTAGTCAGTATGATAAAACATTAACCCTTAAAAATGGCAAATTTCTACTAGTCCTTATGACACCTTATCCATTGGGCAGTCACTCGGGTAATGATGTGGAATATCAGCAATCACCAAAGGTACCATCCAGGTTGTCATTCTGTACACTTTTGTTTGTTTTTTGTTCAATGCGACAGCACTAATGGACTTATCCTGACAAAGGTTGTCAAACTGCATACTCTTGTTTGTATGACCCATCATGAATGATAAACCTCAGTGAAATTTCAACCAACAGTTCATGAAACATTCATGAAGAAATGTTCATTAGCTGTTTTTGAACTGCTCATGAACATTTCATGAAAGGTTCATGAATAATAAATGTTACAAAAGTTCATGAACAGTTCATGATTTGAAGAACTCACTTTTACACGAGAGGGTTGTCAGACTCCACACTTTTGTTTGTTTATTTGTTGTTCAATGCCAAACTACCCATGAATCCATCCCAATCAAGGCTGTCAGTATATTGCCTATCAATAACCAAGTTGGACAAGACAATCCAGTGATTGGTATCATGTGTGATGCCCCTGTCATCGGGTTTCACAGACATGGAATCAACTCAGCCTTGCTATCACCACCCAATCCATTCAGTCGCATCATGTGCAAGGTTACCATGGTGACTGGGACCTACAGACCACATAAAGTCCTTCAAATGACAATATTTTAAGAACTGTTTTGGTTTGATTATAAGAGCAAGGAGCAGTGTTCAAAGTAAGTGCCAGCTGGTAGGCCAATGGCAAGTAGACTTCGTGTAGGTTTAAAACTGTAGGTCGTTATGACCTGAAATAAATGTACGTGTGGATTTATTTGTCACAATACGATGCAGTTTTTTTAAGGGGCCTGAAGAGTTTCGTCAGGGCCTGCATCTCCTAAAGTCTGTGGGTCCTGATGGCAGCCTGGCAATTCTTTTTATTTCAAACACTTGAAAGGAGCCAAGAAATTTTCTTCATTTTTCAGCCTGATTTGCCAAAGTATTGTTGACTTTCTTCAATATGAGGTTTTCAGAGGAGTGCATCTCTGTCAAAGACCACAGATCTCTGTGACAGATCACACAATGCACTGAAGACGTTATGTCCCGGATGTCAGCCAACTTGCTCAAACTCAATGACAGTAAGATCAAGGCAGTCCTGTTTGAACTAAATATCAGCTTGGGAAGGCCACACCAGAGATCAGCAGTCACAGATGCCACTATCAATGTATCGGACTCCAAGCTATACTCATGCCAGTTTATCCATGGAGTCTGACGTAGATTGTCTGTGTCAAAGCTGCTACTTCCGTGCTGTTGGTAAAATCACGCAGTATCATACAACCAAAGCACCACATGCACTTGACCAAGCTCTCGTTACATGTAGATTCAATTACTGCAACAGCATCCTATCTGGCCTCAGTCGTAAGCTCATTGACAAGCAACAGAGGGTACAGAATACACTGCATGCATCATTAGCAGGTCATCAAGACATGAGCTTATCAAACATGTGCTCGGGGAGCTCCACTGAACTGACGTCAAGATTCTTAGTTTGACACATAAATCTCTAAATGGACATGGACCCTCTTATGTGCCTGAACTTATCAATCCCTATGTGCAAACATGTGACTTCCTTTGGCCAATGGTCGTTCTCTACCACAGCTCCTGTCTAACGGAATAATCTTCCATACAACCTAACAGACACTGACAATTAGGACACATTCAAATCCAAACATCTATTTTCAAAAAACTAATGTTACAAGTCCATTTTTCCTCACTTTTATACATCAAGCACATACATTTTAAATGTGTTCACATTGTAGCTCATTCAGAAAACCCCAGGGTGATGAAATGTCACATACAGAAATATGCATTTTTTTTATATATAGTTAAAAAACACTCCTCGGTTTTGGATGAAAATGTAAAACCTCAATCGAGGCTTTACATTTTGAACCAATCCGAGGAGGTCTTAACTAACTTATGAACCATCTAAATGCAAGAAATACCAGAAGAAATAAGAAAAGAAAGAGAAATATAACAGGGGTAGAAACTAACAGTTTTAGTCCACGAGTCTTTATAATGATAACATATAACAAAACCCTTAAAAATGGCAAATTTCTAGTTCTTATGATACCTTAACTATTGGGCAGTTTGGCAAGCACTACAGGACTAGTGCCAATTTGCTGATATAAAATGAATATATTTGAAGACAGCAGGCAAGAGGAAGACCATGTGCAGCATGCAGACAACTGAAGTCATGGCATGGAAGATCTGAACACCGTCATCACCTGCCACAGTGGCTCAGTGTGAAAACAGTGGGTTACCAAATTTAACACGATATGTGATGTTGCAGGTTCATTTCACATAATGGAAATTTACATGTGAAACAATCTCATTAAAATCAGATCTTAGATCTCGCTACCGCTAAACAAAGATCTGAGGACATCCCATTACGGGTCACGTCAGACCGACCTTGTGCAAACTTTGACCGACCAATGGAATGACCAATCAGAAGGCAGCTTTCTCGTGCTTTACGGCACTCATTCAAATTAGCAACTAAGCATCGAAACATATTTTGACAAATTCTCGATTACAAATTTGAAACCTAAACAAAAGAACATTCTGGAAAGGCTAATAGATGGTCTAGATTGTATGGATTCAGTCGTTAAACTCGTAACTATCGTTCGGAATACCCTGTGCGAAAGTTTTCGAAATTGCATGATTAGAAATCACATTCGGACTGTCACTTTCATAATCTGGTAAGCGACGCTCTGATTGGTCGGATGAAAGGTCGTTCTGACGTGATCCCTAATTGGATGTCTTCAGATCTCTGTTTAGCGGTAGTGAGAACGAAGGTCTGATTTTAATGAGATTGCATGTGAAAAAAAATGTGACTTTTAGCAAGTCAAAAAACAACATTAGATGACTATAAAAAGGCTGTTTATACAATTGAGATACATAACCTCCAAGCAGGTGTTACAATTCAAATGTAAAACCTCTCAGCAAGTCTCATGTGAAAGTAGTACCTCTCACAAGGTTCCTAAGAGATGGAATAAAACCTACAATACTATAGACAAAAGTGGCAGTAGGTTTATAAATTGTGTGATGATCATACTGTCACCCAGAATCCCAATGGAGCACTTAATCTAAAAGTTAGCGAAGATACTGTACCAATCAAGGAGTCACTATGATTTTTCATTTGTTTGTTTAACGCAACACTCAGCAAAATTCCAGCTATATGACGGCGTTCTGTAAATAATCGAGTCTTGACCAGACAATCTAGTGATTGACATCATGAGCATCGATCTTAGCAATTTGGATATGATGACATGCATCAACCAAATCAGCGAGCCTGACCAGCCGAATCCAATAAGTCGTCTCTTACAAGCATAGTCGCCTCTTATGGCAAGCATGGGTTGCTGTAGACCTATTCTAACCCGGATCTTCACAGGTCAGGAGTCACCATGGCCTTACCTGTATCATATAGAGCTGAGCTATCCTGTACTCCTCCACACTCATGGGGAGGGAGATGCGGTACTCCTTGATCAACATGGTGGCCGGCGCTGTATGAACCAGGTGAGATGTGATGGATGATTCAGGACACCATGTTGCTGCAGCTACTGCTGGATGTACAGGCAAGGGACCAACTTCATCTGCTTTACCTCGTCAACATCTGAAACATAGAACAGAAAACTGAGTGTGTTTTCTTTAAAAGCGCAGTCATCAGTGTGTGAAGCCCATTTCTGGTGTCCCCCACTGTGATATTGCTGGAATATTGCTAAATGCGGCGTAAAACCATACAATATGTGCACTAGTCCTTATAATGAAATCATATAGCAAAACCCTTAAAAAAGGCAAATTTCTACTAGTCCTTATGATACCTTAACTATTTGGCAGTTTGGCAAGGACTACAAGCCTTGTGCCATTTTTAATGCCGTCCACACAAATTTTCAGTCTCCCTGGACCTGTGTACCAAAAGACTAACCCTATGGGGACTAAAACTGAGGTCAATCACAAATATATCCTTGAAAATTATTCTTATTTAACAGACCACAACAAGCTGATCCCTGCAGCAATGGTACTCCTTGTATACACTGGAAACAGGACTGTATACCACATGATAACTGCCCCAAGCTATATTCCCCTGAGACCAGGAACTGACTGACTGTTTCACCCTGTGGTCCACACATCTCTATCCAGACACACACAATTAATCAATTAATGACACTGAAGTGTGACACATCCTCAGTGATAGTCTGGTGCTTCCTGTTACTCACATGTAAACCACTTCATGGTGCGTGAGTGAGTGAGTGACACTTCACACAATATACCGTATTTGACATAATAAGCGCCTAGGGTGCTCTCAAAATTTAAAAAAAGGGGGCTCTTATTAGAATATTTTTTTGGTGAAAAACAACAGAGTTGAAAGATCGTTAATTTCGTGGTTTATGCTGACAGCCTGAAATGTTTATATACGACAGATATAATTTCCCAGAATTTAACTTCCCATAATTAAGGATGCATAAAACACACGTATTTTACACAAATGAATAAGTCTTGTGCACATTGATCAATCGGAAGGGGTGCTAATTGGGATTGTTCACTGGCCAATATATTAGCAAATATTGCCGTGGGCGCTTATTAGAGCAGGGCGCTTATTACGTCGAATGCGGTACTAATTATAGCACAGCATGTCAGCTAATGTGGGAAGAAACCCAAAGAGATGCAGGAATTCAAGCCCGTGATCAAGCACGCCTAAGTGAAGCATCCCTGCTCCGCAAACCAAGGTGCCCCAGACGACTGGGCCACTCGTGTCACCATGTATTAATGAGAACAGTGCCTGGCTCGTCTTGAGACAAGGTTCAGACAATCAGTGCCCTTTGTGAAACAGAGACATTGTTTCTGCATAACTGGGCGACCCATATACATCACAGAACTGGAGCTGGTCACTGGTATGCAACACAGTAGACAGTGAGTGCCTTGATTGCGCTGATAATACACCTGAGGCTAGACCCCTTTTAACTTAATTACTATAATCAATGACATTCAAGACCTATACCTTGTTGCCTTCAGAAATCCTTAAGAGCAGCACTCAACTACAGACTGTGCATGATTTCAGCGGGTGTAAATAAGAAATAATGATAGGTGTGAAACGATACACTGGTGCCAAGGTGCATCGCGAGTTTTCATGCCACGATATGATTCACGGTACGTTTTTGTCTGTATGGATACAAGACGATGACTCCAAAAGATTTTTGTCAGTCAAATATTGTGATAACTATTGTAATCAGTTTCAAGTTCACTAAAATAAACAGCCGCTATGAACATGTGTCTACAGCTAGCTTTTCCTTTTGAAACTGTAACAAGCATGCTCATTCGGCACAATGTCACTCTCAGCCAATCAGAAACGTGTTTGTTGCCAAAAAGGCTGTATGTACTGCCGTTAGTCTTTCAGCATGGTGACTGACGATTAACAATATGCTGCTGTCGAATTTTAATATGCTTCCCGAAATTCAGAAGTCAAATATGTATCGTATCGTGACCTGTGTATCGCGAAATATATCGTATCGTGACCTTGCTGTATTGTTTCCCCACTACTAAATGACAAATAGTTCCATCATGCCATTATTAGGGAACAACCATTTGTTATTCTGGTCATGTTGGCTTGGCTTGTGATTTTTTTTTTGAAAAAGATTCCTCGTAAAATAACTTGGGGGAAACAAAACATTGTCACCAGGATGTACTGTAAAAAATACATTGTTGGCCCATTGAAAGTGTTGTGAAGTAACTATTGTTTTCAGATCCTCCTTTCACAAAAAAAAATTCTTTAGAAGCAGTGAATGAAAAACTATCCTGTCTGAAATAATACTCCAAGACCCACCGAGAATATTAAACGGCTGTACCCCAGGAGCTTAATTATTTCTGTTATGGCACCCCTCTTACCCAAAACATGGTAAGGTGGAACCTCAGCCCTATCCCCAGAACAACCTTAGTGTTGACAGTAACTTGACACAAACAACTGTCAGCATTAATTATCGGAATAAAATGAGATGGTGTAACAGTACAAATGTATTTGAAAAACATGTCATGACAAGCAGAATGATCAGACACTGAAGCATTAACTACTGATGAACTGTCACGGGTATCGGGTATGATCTCCATCTATCTTGGGTCGTTTGGAGCTCAGTTGACAAAGTTTGTTCACTATAGTTCAATCTCTGATAAATTTAACTTGATGTTCATGGTTAGTCTGTCTTACAGACCCTGATACAAATATATCAAATACAGTCCTTGCAAGTCAATAATGTTTGGCAAGTCTAGATTTCTTCAATATCTGAAAATGAAGAGAGTCTCTGGGCTCCTTTTTATTAAATTTTTATTAAGATAATTTAACAACTGTTTTTTTTCTGTACAATATGATCATTTCAGAGGCTAGATGTTAGTCTAGTTCATGGTTTCAATAAGTACCCATTTGTCAATTTTCTCAGAGCTCAGTGCTCACTTACTATTACGAATATGGTACATGTGACATAGTCGACATCAATATTCATTGCAGAAACAATTTATGTGTTTTGTATAGTACCTCACTGTACACAGATGGGCTGAACCTGCCAGTCTAAGACTGGTGAGATGTTCTAATACGCTGTCTCCCTTATTGTTAATCAGACTTGTCTATCTCTGTTGTGAACTTATGTAACAAGTTACACACTTGGGGCAGCACACGAACAGACACAAATTAGCACATTTGTCACCACTCGCCCCTTTCCAGAACCTGCAAGAAGACACGTCCCCCTGTCGATGAATGTTATGTGCGAAAATACGACAAACCAATCAAAATGTGAGTATGGATTCAAGTTTTTCGGTCAAAGAATCCCTCAGGAATAAGTTTTGATTTTACATATGTCTTGCATCTAAAAATATACCCAAGATACATTTATATGTGTTTAATCATACTGTATAATACCACATGTCCCGATGTGCTTTAAATTGCATCCAACATTATATAACATATGGGGAAATATACATGAATCATTGCACAACGAGTTCACAATTCTTTTAGCTATGTCCCTATGCGCTTAGACGGAACCCTGTCGCAAAAATGACCACGAGAAATAACACAAGTTGGTCACGAATGAAATTAGCAGTCAATGCAACTGACACAGCATTTCAAGGAGAATTTATTTTTAAAACAATACTGGTGTCAAACTTACTACCCAATAAGCTTGACCCAAGGAAATAAAACTATATTGAATACTGAAAGAAAACTATCAATACCCAATGTGAATCTTGTGAATACTCAAAACTCAAAAAAAATATCAGGAGCCCTGCAAGACATAAAACGAAAAAAAACCAGCAAGAATACGAGCCCAATCTTGACCCAGATAGTCGTGGCTATCATCTGAACACTAATAATGTTATGATAGAAATGCCACTTCTCAGAACTATGCACTGGTACTTACCTGTCAGTGAGGTCATCATAAACAACTGTGTCTATCCATGTTCTACAGAAGCTTTGTACCACATAATGATCATGCTAACATTTAATAAGCATAATTTTATATCAGTTGTTATTACCGTATTCGACGTAATAAGCGCCCCGCCCGCTCTAATAAGCGCCCATGGCGATATTTGCTAATAGTAATATATTGGCTAGTGAACAAACCCAATTAGCACCCCTTCCGATTGATCAATGTACACAAGACTTATTTATTCGCGTATAATACGCACTTGTGTGTTATATGCATCCTTTATGGGCAAATAAATTCTGGAAAAATATATCTGTCGTATATAAACATTTCAGGCTGTCAGCATACACCACGAACTTTATCTTTTAACTCTGTTTTGTTTTCACCAAAATAATATTTTAATAAGAGCCCCCCATTTCTAATTTTGAGAGCGCCCTGGGCGCTTATTACGTCGAATACGGTATCTTGATTTCGTGACCACCACTACAGTGGAATCATTATGGCATGTAGTGATGATTGCTTTGCACTGCAGCTCTCTCGGTTCAAGTGTCACACATAAATATGTCGACACTCACTTTTATCTGCTACCTTTCCTTGTACTCTCAGAAGGCATAGCCCTCAGCCAGACAGCACATGTTGACATTCTGATTGCAAGGCCTTACCTTACAACCAGGGTCAGTTGACAGCTGATTCATTTTATCATCACGATCATATAACAATTTGTTTTAAACTCTTGACAAACAAAAGGTGAAACGGTCACTTTATTTATCTTGTTGAAATTGAAAATAAATGGCTCTTAAAAACTAGACTAGGCATTTCAAATTATCTTCAACAATATTTTTTTCATCTACTAATCCAAAGCAGTTCAAGTTTCACATGAACTTTCTCGTAGCCAGCATCTTGTCTAAGCCCATGCCTGGTTAACGTCATTTGGGCTAGAACAAGCATGACTAACATAAAACAGACTATGTATTTAGAGAAAGTTATGCAGAAAAACAAGTTGGTGAAATCTATACTAATGGCAACAGTTAGACTTAATTTAGTCCCAGTTATCTCGTTTAAACTAAATATCTGCACTAAAAAAAAGTAAAATCCAATGGACCCCAGAACAATCCTTAGAGCTGAGGCAATCTTGACCTGCAAAATCATTCTAGACTTGAGGTGGACTCCTTTTTTACTATATTCTCTAGGGTCTTGGAGACAGTCT